ATGTGACAATAGACAGTTAAACCATTTATTTGCTCTTTTTATTTCTTTTGGTAAATTAATAGAATTATTTTAATATTAAAAAACTGTTCTACTTGTGAAAGAGTATTCCTGCTGTAGACAGCAACTTCTGAGAAAATAGCACACGGAACTAGTGAACAAAACATCAGCTATGAATATATTCTCTCCTTACAAAAGAAAAGGAGATTGTCTTGTTTTCTCCTCATACTCACTTGCCAGAACAGCATGTAAAAGCTTTCTCTTCTCAACAGGATCAAGAAATCTCCCCCTGAAGAATTTAGTAACCAATACAGTGTGCCAGATTTCACAAGAGAATTTACATGGTGTATAAAGCAGCAGAAGCAGCACTGTAACCCAACTCTTCTTTAACAGGGTCATCCACTGGGAACACCCTGATGTCCTGGGAGAAGGAGCCCAAGGCACAGGCAGCCTGACCAGAGGGATTCAAAATCTTTGCCTCCCTCAGCAGGAGCCTGCAGCTCCAGAAGTGCTGGTCAGGAAGGCAGGTCGATCTTTATGATTTGATAAAGCAACCTTCTTATTTCCCCAGTCTCATCTGTTTGGGTCTTTTTACACTTTAAAGCAAATATTGTTACAAAAACTCAGCAGCCAAGCCTGTAAATTAAAGTTACATTCTAAGATCCTGCATTCCACAATACACAACTGCTAAACTCCAAAGATTTTACTGGAAATAGTCTACCTCCTACAGCTTTTTCTAAGAGCAGGGGGTTTTCTGGGCAACTGGAGAGGATGGGACTACTTCCTGGTAACATCATGAAATTTTCCTGTCAGGGAGCTCAGCATAAAAAAAATTATTAAAATCTTGAGAAGGAATAAATGATATTCACAAAAGCAACACTTTTGTGAATTTTGATGAATAAATGATATTCATCAAAAGCAACACTTCCACTTTAGCATACTTCAAATTGTTGCTTTGTATGAATTGTGTCTTCACAGAAAAATTAGAAACTAAGTTTCTGGACTTTACTGTTTACCTGACATGGCTGAAACTGGAAGAAGGCAAAGAAATCCACAGTCACAAAGTCACTTGGGGCAAGACTGGCAATAGATCCTTCCTCCCCTTTCACCTTGATGCAGTCAACATCTCAAAAACAAAAAAAAAAAAAAAAAGGAGTCCTATAATTATCCAAATCTTCCCATCCAATGTTGTTTTTTTGTCTAGTTTAAAGTTAAAAAAATCTATAAACAGGATTTTGTGAGTCCACTTGATTATAGGCAATACAAGTTTTGTGTATTTTGAAAGAAAACTTGGTAAAACAATGCAAAGATTGGCTGCTTTTCTTTTCTGTAATGAAAAATTAATTGCTCACTAAACAGGAGTTTATACTACGCCCATCCCTGTCAGTCTTAACTGTCCCAATAAAAGTGGCACCATCAAAAGAGTGAAATATTAATTCAAATATGTTTTTTGACAAATAAAACGAAACAGTTCTTCTGCTTTTACGACAATACACCAAATACATCACCTACATTTATTTTGTGTGCATTACTTAAAAAATGAAGCTGTTAACAAGGAGAAAGATAATTGCATTTTTCTTTTAAAAGTTCACATGAAAAACAGAGAGAAGTTTATGGAAGTGAAAAATTACATGGAACCCGTAGCAGCAGCAGAGTTTACCACCACTAAATTAGCCTGAATTTAATTCAGGCTCTGTGATAATAAGACAATCTACCTGCTCAGCTACCATGAGAATGATACTAATGGAATTACCTAGACAATCTGGACACATAAAATGTATTTTAGTGGCTGTTTCACAGTGAGGTCACCCAGTACTAAAGCCTGATGAACTAATTTTGCTAAGAGATTTCAGTGCTCTAGTTTACAGAAGATTGTGTCACATGAGGAAAACCCCTGGGAAACTTGGCCCTAGGAAAGAGAATGTCAGTAAGTGAAGATTGCTAAAGCTGTGCAACTGGAAGCTCAAGGCACCACGCTGACAACATAAACTGTTAGTGAAGCAAAGATACTGCAAACCATATTAAAAGCCCTAAAAATTACATCAGGATGGTCAGTAGATAGTTTTATGTAAATTCTGAAATCACAAAGGCAGGGTAACATGCTACCTCAGCCTTCCTCAGTAGCTGCAGATATCCAGATAGTGTTCAGCACTACAAATGGGAGGGTCTGAAGGTTTTCAGAATGGCTCCAGCAAATCAATATGCAAAACAAAAAAGCAAGAAAGCAAGCAAGATAACTCAAAACCCCCACCAGTTTGCTTTAGTTGTTAGAGGACATTTTTAAAAGTCGGCGAAAAAAAAATTAGAAAAGCTGTAGGAAATAACTTTAAAAAAAAGCCTGGCAGAATCAGGGGACGCCTGTAACTAATGAGAAAATGCCAGCAAGCTAGAGAGGAAGATCAGGTCAGAAATGCCAGATATGATGGAAGAACTGTATGATGTGACAGTGGAGACCCTGGAGACAACAGACAAAGACAGAAAAAGGAGAGAAAGAGACAGTGCTCAAGAGATGGTGCCGAGAGAGAGAAAAGAGCAGGTTTTCTGGCAGAGAGAGGGAGGGGAAAAAAATCTGAGGACCCAGGGAGAGCCAACATATAAGAACCCAAAACTGTTTGCCAAGCCTATTTACACTGATTTAGTCATGCAGAGTTGACAGATCTCAAACTAGGAGCATAGTGGGGAGGGAACAGTAAGGATAAGAATGGGCAAGAAGGTAGATTGGAGATTGCTTAAGTTTTTGAAAGAGCTTTTGCTAAAGCAGTTTAAAAGAAAGGTGGTCCACCATATGCAGCAGAGATCTTGTGAAGGATGAAAGGAAGAAAGAGCGAAGCTACAGATCATGCTGATGCCAAACAGACAATGAACATTGAGAAAGCAGCCTCGGAAAAACTAGAGAAAACACTAAATCCAAAAGAGAGGGATAAGAAAGGCCACCCAAGAACATAAGGAATCAAAGTACTAAAGAACAGCAGATTAGAGGACAGAAAAGAGACTGTAGATCAGTGGCCAGACACAGAGAAATCTCATTTTGTAATCTGTGTAGCCTGAAGGGCAAACAGGCAATACAGAGCCAGAAAAAAAAGTATAGTTATAATACTGTACAAGAAGGAATCAAAGTACCATTAAGAATATCCATGAAACAGTTATGCCACAAGTTCCAATTGAAATTAATTAAAAACTTATTTTAAAAAGGAGTCTGGGCTATCATAAGGAAAAGAAAGGCAATATTTAGTTCACTCTCCACATATAAAATTATTTTTAATGGGGAAGCATCACGCTTTCAGCTTGTCTTTGGACTTCAAACACTCTTGATTTTCTTCAGAGAGTACAGCATGTCAGCAGAAGTCATATAGCTACTCAGAAGTTAAACAGCACTACAACTTAGAATGACAGACACACTGCATTTCATCATATTTCACTACACTTTTCAGCACCAAAGGAACCTAGTTGCTTAATGAACATTGGTCAAAAAATAAAAATAAACCAACTAACCCCCCTCCCCTAAATCCACAAAAACAAACCCATCACAAAACAGACAAAAATCCAACTCCAAAACTGCCCATGTTCAGATCTTACTGTGGAGATCCCAGCTTTGGAGAGAAAGAAGGGTTGTTGTTCAACATAGGGTGAGGAAGTCCCACAATTAAGTAGGGAAAAGGACATACTTTTGCTTCAGAGAAGTTTGCATTGGCAGCAAAGCAGATAAAATGCAAGCATTTCTCACAAACCAAACTGAATCACAAAAACTAAACAGAACCATATTAAAGTATGAAAACAACAGGACCACTTTAAAAAAATAAAATGTTAAGGAACAGCTGTAATATGAAGCCCATTAGATGGGGAGGACAGGATTAGGAATCTAGGGAGTACACACAGCTGGTTTTATTGAGAAATGTTACCTCCTCATGCATAATAAAAGCATCGTTAGTGTATCCCTACAGAAAGGGGAAAAAAATCAAAAGACTCAAGAAAGAAGGAGGGCCACTTTTGAGCAACAAGTGTTTACAGGATTTAAGCAGTAACCACAAAGGAGTACTTTTGATAGGACTCAAAAGGCTCAAAGTGGAGCAATTCCCCTACCCTTGCTGTTACAGGGAGCATCATAATCTGTCCATTATCAGAAAGAAATCAGTGTGAGTAAGGTTCTTGTATCAGGCCTCTCCTGATTCATGATGGTTATGCTCCCAAATAATGTAAAATATTGACTCAGTTGCAATTTAAAAATAAGTAACTTAAACATATGAGCCCACAGAAAAGGATTTAAAAACCAGATGCTGGTGACAGCTACAGATCTGTGCTGCTAAAGCTCATAGCTGTGACACTTCGTGTGTGAGACAATGGATGTTATGAAGGGAGCAGGGAAAAGCAGCTGAAGGTCTGGATTCTGGCATGCATACAAGCTGAGGGAAGGAACACAGCTCCCCTTCTCACCCAGCCCTGAACTGGTAAAGACTTCACCCTGACAGACACCCAGGAGAGTTTTAGAACAGCTGTTTAGCAACAGGTGTAGTGTGTTAGTGCATTGTTAAAAATAGCAAAATTATCATCCATTGGACTGCTGATTTTGTAAATAATTTATCATATTTCTTGGTTTTCTTTTACCCAGTGTAACTTCAGGCTACCACTAAAGGGACGGTTCTGCTCCCACATTTTCCTCCCACAAGCAGCAGCAGATTTCCAGCCCCTCCCTCACACAAGATGTGGACACTATGCAATTATCATATGACTCAGTTCAGCTCCCCTGCATGACAGAAGACTCTACTTCTGTTGAATTCTGAGGAGGAAAGCTTTCCATCAGACCATCATGCTGAACCAATCTTTCTCCTTTCTGCTGCCACACCATCAGTAGAGCTGATGCAAACGGACAGGAAAGGCAAACAAGCAGCGTGGAAGCAGAAACAAGCAGCGCAGCCCTTTTCACCAGGAGCCTGCAGTTACTCCAAGCAAGGTGAAATAAGAAATTACTCTGAAATCCAGCTGCAAATCTCTGTCCAAACATATCTGCCTGTAATGCAAGGATCTGCACAATGAGTCACAGCTAAGTGCAGTATTAACACATTTTACTTACAGTCTCCCACTGAAACTTCTTTCCTCACTCATTTTGTTGAGTAGCAATTCACAGTTTCCAAATCCTGGTTTCACTTTACAGTGTGTAGTTAATATCAGCATAAAAAACAAAAACTATCAATGACATGACACCTGCAAAACAAATTTAAAAAGAGTGCTCTTAGTTTGTATTTATTTGTCTACGTCTGTCCAAGTTCTCCTCTGAAGCAAACACACTCATGTGTGCTGCATGAATCACCTGGCTCTGGCTATTGAGGCTTCCTTTAGTTCCCCAGTATAAAAAGAATTATTTACAACTGTGGAGGATTTCTATGCTATCTTATGAACAGAATGTAGAACCTAGACCAAGTGTTCCTATCACTGTTGTCACAGGGAGTGAGAAAGCTCATCTTTGCTCCATAATATCGAAGTAGGAGCACATTAAGTGCAGTGAAGGCCTCTCCAGAGATGAACAGAATTACCTGTGCAGAATCACATGTCCAGAATTACCTCAGAGATGCAGTGAAAGACCAATGACAAAGTACAAGCCACCCACAAACCAGAATCCAAACCTCTGCAAAAGGCAGGACCAGCATGTAAGAGACACAGCTATAAGATCTATGTGCATTGGAAATTCACACTGCAAGCCTGTGCACATCCTCAGTCAGTCTGCATTGCCACTCTCACACAGGAGCATATTTGGGTTGAAAAAATGCAGCCTCTTTGGAAGGGCTGTTTTGTGTCACTGTAAACATCTGCTGCATATATTACTCCCTGTAGGAATAAGCCTCCTACAGGAACCCAAAATCACTGAATGAGCCAGAATAGCTGCAGTGTAAAACACATGCAGAGGACAATCCCCTCGCCTCCTTGCTACTTTGGGGCACTGGGGTTCACCACCCTGGGGCTCAGGGACAGCCTCAGCATGAATACATATACTTGCATATAAATATTTGTGCACATGTACGTAGGCACACCAGGACCTGCTTTTAATACCTAATTGCCAAAGTACCAGGAAAGCTAATTTATGGCTAATTGTTCCACACAGTAATCATTGTCCCTCCCCTAAGAAAGCTTCCACAAACTCTTCCTCAAAAGATCACATCTTGGCCATATCAAGAGGTCTTCACACTGGGTTTGTTTTCCTTAATCTTCATAAAATAAATCCCTCCTTCTGTTCAAAGCAAATCTCCTCTTCTTACTTTGACAGACCCCTGGTTTTTTCTCTGGTAACCTTCAGCTTTTTTTCCTCCCAGTACAAGTCAGCAGCATTCACGTTTTTCTGTATTTTCTCCTTCATTCGCACTAGTTATTAAGGCATCTTAGAACTATTTATTGGTCCTTGACATACAGAGCAACTGCAACATACAGGTGAGGTGAGTGAGGTCTCCTCAGGCAAATTTCCAGATAAAGCTGTTCCTGATCCTAACCTGGAATTCCCAACCTGAGGGCCGACAATGTCAGCCAGCACCCAGTGAGCAGGATGTGGCTCCTGGCACTAATTCCCTTATTCACACTGAGGTAAATCAATATAAACTTTAAGTACCTTACATTTACCCCTCATCCCTGGAACCATCCAGTACTGTGTCCATCTTACACATAACTCTTTATTCACAAGCCTTAAACACTCTTGGCCTTGCACTAACTTTTTTTCCAGTGTTACAGGCTGAAATCTCCTACTCTATTTCAGTGGCATTGTCCTCTGCTATGACCACAGGAAAATGATACAAACAGTTTGAAAACTGATCATTAATAGTTCCTAATGCCAAGAGTACTTTTCATTTCCTGTAAATCTTAGCGTATCTGGGGATGCCAACAAACTTTAGGATTCCCAAGACTGCATTTTGAACTTTTCCCAAAGCTGTAGGCTTCAAGAGAGAGGGCACAGTGAACCTCCACGTTCCCCATTGTGCAGGCTGCACTGCCTGCCCTGCCTTGTTGTTGTAAGGCTCCTTCAATTCCTATGGATGTCTGTAATTCGGCTCCCCATTAGTGCACCAACTGCCATACCTTCCAGAGTAATCAGCATCACTCAGCCTCCACTTTCCTTCTTGGATTTCTCAGTTCCATTAATCTGAAAACAGATGAGAAATAGAGTAAATACTGACACTGGGAGCATCATATTAAACATGTCTTTGGTCTCCATTTGCTTATTGAAACAAGTGACAGCTTGCTTAGACCTGACTGGTCACCTTTTCAGATCATCTTTTAATGATCCAGTGCTAAATCCATTTTTCTTGACAATTTTATTTGCCCTGAGATGCTGATCAGTGAGCAGGCAAAGCAGACCAGCAGTATTAGCCCTGGTGTGCTGTGGGAGTACAGGCATGAGTAATGATATAGAAGCCTGTGCAGATGTGGCAGTGCTGGTTCAGCCCCAATACTTGTCTCTGTTCTCTGTGAGGAAGAAATTTCTGATAAAAGAATAAAATATATAGACATTAAAAAAATTGTCTTGAATTTGACTTGTTTTGGATAAATTCATTGAGACCTTAGGCTGGGGTCCCAGCAGTGTGCACACCAGCCCTCTGAGCTGAGGGGCTCTGTAAGAAGCAGGTTGTTCCCCACTCTCCTTCTAGGCCATTAGCTATTCCTTTGATTAGTTTGCCTTCATCCCTCGGGGCCCTTCCCTGCACATAATGTGCCACACGCTGTATTACTCTTAGCTCAGTTTTCAGAGCACTGTAGAACACATTTTTCACTCTGGGCTGGTCCAATATGAAGTCATTTACTTCAGATTTCTTTTCCTTCCCCTGATTATTGAAAATGAAATATTACAAGTCACCTATTTTTTAGCTTCATTCAATTCTTCAAAAGCTGTAGAATATCCTAATATCATGGAGATGGGTGAGAATTACATCCCAAGAACCCACAGAAATCAAATGTATGATTACATCCTTTGCAGTTCTGGGCTCCAAATTAGCCTGTCAGGTTTGCATGTAGTGCTTCCTCTGACTTCTGTGGGAATTGCACATATGAAACTAACAGAATAATCAGGCCCTGAAAATTTGAGCTTGTGTCCCCAAGCATATCTGCTACATTTTTAACTGATTCAGTGTGAGCTGCATCTGTGACCCCACAGCAACAGCAACAGCTGGGAGTATGTGCTGGCACCCAGAAAGCAAGTGCTGCCTTTCCACATGGGATATACTGCACTCTCCAACCTGCCCTGCTCGGATTTAAAGCACAAACTTAGCTATAATATAAAGGAAATCTTTCTGTTACCATGACATTGAGCAAGAAAATAAATATTAAGCTCCCTGGAAAATGAAAAAGAAGGTATCAGAGCATTTTAGCAAGTCTAATGGCAGAAGGCAGAACCATCACAGCACAGTGTAGAAGACAAATGAAAATGGTGATTTTAATAGCTTGAAATGAGAGGAAAATAATTAAATAATCTGCATACAGAAAATGGCACATTTCAGATACTCTTTGATCCAACCAAGTGTTAGAAAAGTGTCATTTTTACAATCCTAATATGGTTTTGAAAAGCTGCTTCTTTTTCTCCTGAATTCCCCAACTAAAGCATGGGATAAGAAGCAAAACTCACCACTCACTTCTTAGAAGATTAAAAAATTAGATTATTTAAATAAAACAAAAACAATCCCAAATAAAACCAGAAACAATTCTAAAACGCCAGGCATTTTACCTATTACCTGTAAGATGTTGCATTATTCCAAAAGAAATATGGATTAAAGTGTTTCATACCTGGTCCTGATGGTTCAGCATGCCAATTTTTCAAGTTCAGGCTGACTAGCCACTCAGGAAAGCAAAAGGTTATGTAGATTACCACATCTGAAAATGAAGGGTACATAAGCAGTTAGCATTGCACAAGCACACAGAGGCTGGTAAGAAGAAAATACAAGAGCCTCAAAAGGAAAACAAAATAATTACAGCACTTCAGATATACACTTGATATAAAGTTTCCAGAACACATATCTTATAGCCTTTTTTGTTAAAGTAGACAAAGGTATTAATATTTAAATTCCAGTCTTTATTTTCTGTACTTGAAGTTCTTTTTTTAACAGATGGTAGAGAACTTCCAATGATAATTCAGTAGAAATCTCTTCATTCAACAGATACAGGAGTTACAACGACTGCTGGGCTCAGAAATGTTGCACAATTTGTGTGCATCTCTCTTTAGGACAGCAGTGAAATCCTAATTCAATATGTGCACCTTTAAGGAGATGACCTTGCACTGGGATATTATTCAAATACATCAGGCATGTAAGTCCCCTTTTATAGTGTTTTAATTTTGATTGAAATAAGATTCTTCCTTAAAAAAAATGTAAAAATGTTCTTTTCAGTTTGTAGTACATCTGTAGTTCTGATGTGTTGGCCTGTTTGCCATGTTATCGTTGGCACAGACATGGGGGCTTCTTTGCCTTCATTTCACAAAAGAAAAAAAATCCCCCTGCTACAGACAGGAGCCAGGCATGGTATTTTCAGCAAGTCCATTACCCACCTGCTCTGCCCAAGCCAATGAAGTACAATCAGGACCACCCAACCTAATGTTAATAATTTATTTCATGAAGTTGTCCATTTTAGAGCTGAATTAGTGAAATGCAAGTGAACGGAGCCAAAGGCTCGGACTGGGCTGCCATTTTGACATTCTCATCAGGGAAATGATGCTGTAAACACCCATACTTGATTCACATGCATGGTCTCTTGGTTGCCTACAGTAATGCCCATCTGTTCAGATGGCATCATGCCCACTCAAGTTGCTCAAGGGAATACATGCTGGGCAGTGATTGGCTTAGGTAAGTATTTTTCAAACTGGGTCGGTGTCGACCTCCTTTTGGGAAGGCCCAAGAGGAAAAGGAAACAAAAAGAATTTTCATTTTTTATTTTAATGGATTGTTTTCATTTAGCATTCAGCAAAAACACTGTCATCTATAAAACATGCAGTAGATGGTTTTGCTAATTCCTTGGTACCTGTGACCCCAGCAAGCAAAAATAAATTCAATTGTATTCTCATTTTTTAAATAAATGAGTTGCACCTGTTATAAAGTCACAGGCCATGTAGCATTAAGACCATCTCATCTGCAGAAAAGAAACCTGTCTCAGCAGGCATCGTCACATTCTGACAATTGAACGAATTTCTTCTCTTGAACGTTGGTCAACACTCAAAACTGAATTCACAGGTATTATAGCTCGAATTTTGTGGGGAGGTTGGTGAGCAACACTGTGTCCAAAACTACAAGTCAGATCAAAACTATAAGACAGATCAAAACTATGTGATTGTACAAATATGCAATTCCAAATATACAACAAACAAAAATGCAAAGAGACACAGATAAATGATGCTGTGCAGTATCATGAAAAGATTAGCCTCTTTTGGTTCCCAAATTGGAATAATTTTCAAATGTAGCCTTTTACTTCTCCAAAGCTGAAGAAGTAAAGTGAAGCTTTAGTGAAGTGCATTGTACAGTGAAGGCATTGTCTGTCACTTTGCTTTATCAAACAAAAAGGCAGGGGGGAGGGGGACATGTCATGCTTTCTTCCTGCAAATAAACTGTGGGGATTTTTATTTAAGAGAAAGCTACCATTAATAGAAAAAAAAAAAAAAAAAGAAAGAAAAAAAAAGGAAAAAAGATGAAAATAATCCAGCTCCTTTTCATTTGGGAGACAAAAGCCTTTCAGAGCTGCGTCCATGCGCTCCTGACTACTGTTTTGACACTGTGTCAAGATGCTCCTGCTCTGCTCCAGGTCTCAGATCACAGTTGGAGTGTCTTGATACAGTGTTGAATCAGTAGTGTCAGCAAGTCTCAGAGCAGAGTCAAAGAGCCTCAATGTAGCCTCTGAGCAGGTAGAGTTAGAGAGACCTTTCCCCTAAACTGAAGTAGGCAGAGGGTGCTTAATTTTTTTTTTAATTGTTTGTTTTAGCACATTTCAACCCAGCTGCACCAGCCTCATGCTGCTAATTAATAGTCTGTCTTGCAGAAAGGAATCAGAGTTAACTCTCCCTACACTGAAAAGCTGTTAAAAAGCAGCATGAAATAATATTTTCCTGAAAGAGCAAGTCTAGGCACAGGCACTGAGGCTCTGGGCTTCCTGGGAGCAGATGGCACCATGGAGCATAGCCCTGCCGTGCCCTGATCCACCATCCTCTGCTCCTGGAGACCCAGATGGAAACATGATGTCCTCTGCCTCTACCTGCAGGCCAAGCTCCTCCAACATCCATCCTTCTCAGCACCATCAACAGGGACACAAGTTTTCCAACAGTTGTGTAAAAAAAACAAGCATTACAATAAAAATGTTTTTAACATTGAACACACAAAGGATTTCTGGGATTCCTCCTAGGAAAGGCAGCAAAAGTGCATAGACTCCATGACTGCAAACACTGCTGCCTGGATTACCCTGCCTGGGGGGACCAAACCCCAGGCAAGACAACAATCTCTAAAGCATTGACTGCCAAGGACTCCACCAGGCTTGGGGTGAGATGGATGCCAGTCCCTAAGAAGGTACTGGAGAACGAATGAAAAAAGACCAGGGTTTAAAAAGAAAATAACTAGACTTAAAAGCCTGGATTAGAAAATCTAAATGGGTCAAGAGGCACATTCCTGTAGCTTTACATCTGAATATGCAATCCAGTCAATTTGGCACGCTAACACCAGGGGGGAACACAGATCAATGTATATAATTTAGGTCAAATGACCACTGCAGAGTGAGATGCAGGCATTCTTCTCACAATTGAGCCAAATTTATCCCTGATATAAATGCAGTGATTTCACTGAACTTTTAGCAGGGATATATTTGCTCATTTATATGGCCAATAACTTCTCAGTAACTTGTTGCTTTTGTGTACCACTCCCACACGCAAAGATGTCTCAAATTTCTCATTAGTTTCTTTTCCCTTATGATAATTGCACTGTTCCTTACATAAAACATTATTAAACAGAGGTAAAAATATTTATACAACAAAGCAATAAATCCTCAAGTCTAACATTCATAGCTAACAAAAAAAAATTCTAAGTCATGTGTTTTGTATTCCAGTTTTGATAATTGTGTAACAAAAAAACAGTAGTCTTCCAGTCAGTAGAAAGTACAGCAAAGAAGAGGTGGGAACAGGTTCTTACCTCCCCACAAGAAGGTGAACCTCAGCCAGTGTTTGCTATGTGCCTTGAGATCCTTGGAGGAAGGTGTTATTTAAGGTGCAAAGCATTTCTATGGGAAACAAACAAAGCTCACTGACTGCTGCGGTGACTTTTGTGCAGGCACTTTCACAGCGAGCGGCAGCCGGGGCTCCGTGTCCTGCGGCCCTCGGGGCTGTCACACCCTCCCACTGCCGCGGAGCTCCCGACCCCTCCTGACCATTCCCTCTCATCCCCCGCCATGGGCACGGCTGCCCCAGCGCCCTCTCAGCTCTCTCGGGAGGTAAAAGAGAAATTAAAGATTGTATCATCCAGACACAAATTAAAATCTTGACTGGGAGAAACCTGGTAGAAAGTCTCAGAAGAGAATGAATTATGTATTTGAACACTTAAGATTTCCTTGCCTTTACTACAGCATGGGGTCTGAACTCTGCTTTCTTCCCTGCACTTTATTACATGGTTAGAAGTCCCGCAGTAGGAAACTTGCAGTTTGAATTTTGAAGCACCTATAGTGTCATACTTTTTATTTTAATATTTGTCACCAACAGTGCCGACAGATAAAAAGTGCTGGCTCCCCACAGCATGACACGCGGGATTTTCAATAGAGCTACACAATTGCTTTTGCTAAGTGCTTGCGGGGCTCTCAGTGCCAAATCCCGCAAATTGCTGCATTCAGGCCACTTTGCAGCGCCGTGCTAAGGCAGGGGATGCTAAAAGTTAGTTGGGACATATGCCTAAATGGCTGGTTTCTTTTTTAAAATCCTAAACAATTGTCTGAAGGCGTTTCTGCAACACACTTCTATAATTGCAGCACTTTTGAGATGGTCAAAAATTTTATATCACAATCTATTCTGTTCTTTGCATACCATTTTAGAAAAAAAAAACAAAAAAAAAACCAGAAAAACAAAAACCTTCTCCCAGCCCCAAAATTTGCTGACCAAGGAAGTCCCTGATGCAATGTCACCAAGCATGGTGACATTCTATTTAGGATTACTACTTCCTCTTCTTCTCCCTTATTGCCTTTAATTTGTTTTTATCTTTAATTTATGAGTATATTGTTGTTCATATCCCAGCCCCAGGTCAGTATTATGGTGTAAATTATTTCATGTGCACAGCAATGCTAAATGTATAACAGTTACACCTGAGGTATCAGGGGAGAATTTTGTATCTCCTGTTTTATTCACAGGTCAATTAAAAAGCTGATTAAACCCAAAAAGCCTATGATGATAATTGTTGGAAATAGACTGGGATGATAATTGGTTTAATGACTGCTAAAGGAGTCATTGGGATGTGTGTCTCTCAAGGAGCCTGAATGGCACTTTAAGAGCTTGATTCATCCTGGGTGTTGGTTGTTGACTTTAATGGTATTACTCAAAAATCTGATTTGGATCAACTTACAAAATATTGCAGACAAGACAAATAATTTTTAAAGGATGTCTCTGCTGAGCTTTGGTGTCTCCCTTGAACTACCCTATTCAATGTCAACTCCTCCAGTACAAATTCTGCCTGTACAGCTTGAAGTAGCTCTGTAAGGTGGGAATCCACTGAAGGTTTTATGTTTTTATACTTTTTTTTTTCCTAGCTTAGCAGGAAACAAATTCTATATAATAACTAGAAAATGTAGGCCGAGACCATCCTCTGCACAGGAAATTTCACTCAGAGGGTTGGACACCCAGTGAGGTCCTATTCACAGACATCTCT